GATGATGATGATGATGATGATGATGATGATGCACTCTTTTGAAATATTTTATTATTGATTGTTTCATGGTGTTATCCTAATTAGTCTGAGAGTTTCCACTGAAGAGCATCTAAAGTATCTTAGATATATATTTGATTTGGTGAAGAAATTGTGATGGTTTATATCAGGGTCTAAGCAGAGTGAGACGGCCACCATGTGAAGTTGATTTTAGAATGTCATGTAAGGCCATCAAACTTTAAGTTATTTATACTGTTGCTTATTATTGCTATACAGTTTTGTCCTTTTGGAAACTACATCATGAATTATGTCTTTGTTATAATACTTTGTTTTTGTATACTCCTATTTGAGCAAAGGAAGTCTTACAGCTTTGGGGATCAACACAGCAGTAGTTGTGTAATAATGTGCATAATTTTAATTCCATATACCCATGTTCACCCCATCCACATGCCCCAGCATTTGGTATTCATTTTCTTTCACTGTAAATTCAAGTTAGAGCATTAGTCTTAACTGATTTTCTCACTTTGATAGATCTGGAGTGATGGTTAAATATTGCTTCAAAATGGCTTGGCTACTCACAGTTTTGTAATATATGTGACTTATTAAAGGAAAAAGAAAGGATGCATAATTTCCTTTTACCTTTGCCAGACTATTTGTGTGTGCTTGTAATAACTTACATGTATGCATTTACGCATTTATAATGCAATATTTGGGTGTGTAAGGGAACATGCATTAAGTTTGTCTCAAAATGTAATAAATTGTAACAATAATTCATATTTCATACATGAAATACAAGTATTATCTAGCTGAAGGGAAAAATAATAAGAATGAAGGAAAGGGATTAATTTTTATACATATTTTATGGCAAGGAATACATTTCAATGCTAGATATTACATGCATAGAGTATCTTTATTAATTGTATAAGTGCAATTCAAATACCACAAAATGTTTAACAGTTAACCAACAAATCTAAAGGTTGTCTGGGTTTCTGTAACCATAGCTAAAAAGACACTTGAACATCTTATGGCATGAGTATAGAAAACTCAAAAATTAAAGACAATCAAAGCCTACCTGGCTTATCTATTTATTACTGAAATCAATAGAAAAACAACT